TATTATGTGAAAAAGTGTATGCATAGTTGCAATTAAAAATATAAAACAATAAAAAGCTTATTACAGTTTGTGAAATAAAACTTAAATACATGGAACAATGTGCGTAAATTTCTTAAAAATTTAATTAGATGTCTCATTTAATTCCAATCTAAATTTCATCTGGAAATATAAAGACGTGAATAATTAAAAATTTAAGAAGGAATAATGAGAGCAGTGTCCTAGCCAGGGAGTGAAAAGAATTGGACTGTGACAGCGATTGAAAAGGGTGTGTTGCTGGCACCTGGTGGCTGAGAAATCAGGGGAGCTGAGCAGGAGTCCTGGGCCAGCCCCAGGTGCAGTGTTTTGCAGTTCATTTCACCCTGAAAATGCCCGGATGTTCCTTCAGCCATCAGCAAAAGCATGGAGCCTCTGAGCATTCCCACCTCCGCCTCAATAAGGACCGCTCTGCTCTGCGCGGTTTCTATCACGGACCCCGCACTGATGTATGGGTTTCACATTCAAAAGGGTTCTCATTGCCATCATGTTAGTAGGTGGTAGAGGAAACCTTGCTCCTCATGGCAGGCTTATCAAACACTGTCTTACTAACAGGAATGGGAGGCTAATGCTTGGTACAGAGGTAAATCCCTGATGAAATAAAAAAATACAAACAAAAGGATACTTGAAATAACTATTGGTAGACATTGGCATTCTCTCTGGATAAGAGGAAAATACTATCTAATAAAAGGATAATATGCAAATTAACCATCACTCCGTCACAAAGATGGTGGCACCCATAGACTTAAAATGGTGGCACCCAGTCCTCTCAGCCCCGCCAAAGTCCCTCAGTCCCACAGGAGCCGCCACTGAGAGTGAGGAGCGTGAATGGCCTGGCAGAATGCTTGCTTCATTGCTGCAGTGACAAGGCAAGAGTTCTGTGCCTGGCCGCAGATGGGCCTCTGGGTCATGGAGAGCCTCTGGGCTGCGGACATGGAGTGGCCAGGCCCCAAAGAGAGCTATTGGTGCACTGATTATGTGCAGGGCTACTAGTGTAAGCATAAGAGCAGTGGCTGTTACAATGGAAAAAATCTGATGGAATTGTTCGCATGAAAATGGAAAACATTGCATATCACCCTAAAATATCCAAAGATAAGCAACAAAAGGAATAAATATCACTACTATGCCAAGTAATGAATATTATTCTGACTGTTTAAAGAGCTTTTTCCACATTAATAGAAACAGAAACATCTCAAGTGTCATATCCTATACCACATGAGATACATTTGAAAACATCTCTATCTCATTGGTATTTACAGAAGTATAATAAAAATAACAACAAATTACCACTTGTTTGACCTACTAAGATAATGCTTCATACTGGCCAAGCATTCAGTTCTGTTTGGTGAGAGTATAAATTGTTAAAATCTTTCTGCAAGTATTTGTGTGTCAGGGGACATAACAGAATTCATATTTTTTGACACAATAATGCTCTTAAAATGTTACATTCAATATATTCTTTGGGTATTTCTATTTACTAACTGAATTTTTTAAATAATGCCTACTCTCAGGAGTGTTAATTATAATGCCATTTTGGAGAATTCAAATTACATCGAGAAAAGTAAGACAGATAATATACATGTATTTTACTTAATTATAATTATGTTAAAAATAATGTGTATGAATAGAAAAACTAGAAAGAGAACAAGAATTAGGCATGGTTAATATTTTTGGTTGCAGGCTTGTGGGTGCATTTTGCTTTCAGTAAAATGGGCATCGGGCTTGCATTTTTCTAATTTTTACTCTCAGAAAGCAAGATTATTAAAAATAATTATTTATGGCAAACTTTAAAATTGGACTTCCTTTGCAACAATTATATGATTTTTTTCCTAAGCCAGCTTGAATCTGTTTTGATGATCTGAAATATTTATTAGACCTATTTCTGGATAAAATCTTCTTGTTATAAACAGTCTTAAAACTTCTACTCCCTTCTCTGCTGTATTGAATCCTTTATCCCATTTTCTAAACAAGTAGGTACAAGGTGGAAAACAGTTATAAGAACATGTGAATTAATTGACCATGAAAACACATTCAAACACTAGTATTTGAGAAATGTCATGAGGGGTAATCCAGAGAGTACTGTTTTGCAGGACATCTGACACTGTAACAATGAGGAGTCATGGGGAGATGGTGGGGGATCTAAGGTAGGGGCCGGGGGGCTTAAGACTGTGCTCCGCCTGTGACCTCTTCCCACCGTGGTGTCTGAGTGTGGCTGCCTGCGAGTCTGGTTCTCGTCTCTGCCATGTGTCCCGTTATTTTGATGGTACCGGTGTTTTGTTCTGTGAAGGAAATTCCTCTCTACCATTGTCCTGTCCATGTTCACATGCCTAGGAGAGTGAGGTGTGCTCACACCAGGAACCCTCCTGTCTCCGCCCCCTTTCTCTGTCTTACAGGCACTGAGGGTGGTGGCTTCTGGCATGTGTGGCTCCATCATTGCCTCCCCGCCTCTCACTCACTTCGTGATGTAATTCTTGGCACTTTTACTTCCTTTGTAGAGTAGGATGTGATGTCATAGAGAAGGGGACAGGGCTATCCAAATTCCCTCAATTGCTGGGAGGCGCTGCCCAGGTGTGCTGAGGGGCCTGTACTCAGGAAGAGAAACAGGGAGTCCTCCACAGTGAGTAACCCCACTTTCGAGTGCACCCCAATGTCCCTTAAAACATTGCCCAGTGCCCGGGGATTTCTTTCCTCTTCAGCCCTTTCTAGTTTTAACCGGTTTGCCTTTTGGACATTCCCAGTTCAGCTCAATTTTCCTCCTTCCTCTCCTTCCTCTTCTAAACCCTTCCTCCTTTTATCCTGTGGCCCCCCCTCCCCCCAAGCCCCTCTTCCTCGCTTGCTTACTTGTGTATGTCTGTGTCTGTTGACCTTCGGCCCATACCTTTGATGGGAGCCCATTGGTGTCCTCAGCTTTGCCCATCACGTGGGGTGGTGCCCATCCCGGGATCAGCGTCTCCTTTCGTAATCCATCAGTGTGCACTTCTCTGCTTACAGTTCTGGTGTTAACAAGTCTGTCAGCTTGTTTGTTTTTGTGTCTATTTCTTTCCCTCCCTCCCTTGTGACCCAACCTCCCCCTTTCAGCTCTCTCTGCAGTTTCCTTCTCGCCTTTTTCAAGCAGTGTGTTTACAAAACGTGTTAGTCCTCCCTCTGCAGCTCTGCCTGAACTTCTCCCCACTTTCCCAGTTTTCAGCTCCGCTCCGAGTCCTCCTCCGTGAGGACAGTTTTTCTTTGTTCCCAAGGGGATGCTTGTTGCCATACCTTCTCTTGAGTGTCGCTCAGATGTCTATATTCTTTAAAGAACTTACCAACTCTTGAAGAAGGGACTGATCCAGGCTGGGGGAAATGGGGAAATATCCTGGGTCGTAGGAAGGGGAGACCAGGAAAGTGGCCCTAATGGGGATGTGGGGCTGCCTGTAACGCATGGGAAGACCCGATTGGACAGAACATTTGCTAGTGACTTAGTGGAAATTTGGCCGTTGATTGTAGGAGAGGCCACAGAGCTATTGTGAACAGATTGGGGAGCCTTTGTAATTTTGAGTTTTTAGAGTGCCCTGGTAGTCCTATATAATAAAAGGCTAATATGCAATTGACTGAACAGCGGAACAACTGGTCACTATAATGTGCACTGTCTTCCAGGGGGCAGATGGTTAATGCAGGAGCTGCCCCCTGGTGGTCAGTGCACTCCCACAGGGGGAGCGTTGCTCAGCCAGAAGCCGGGCTCACTGCTGGCAAGCACAGGGGTGGTGGCGAGAGCCGCTCCCACCTCCACAGCAGCAGTAACGATGTCTGACTGAGGAGAGGGCCTAAGCCATCAGTCGCACATCCCCTGAGGTTTTCCAGACTGCTAGAAGGCGCAGGCCAGGCTGAGGGACTCCCCAAGTGCACGAATTTTGTGCACCAAGCCTCTAGTTCTTAGTAATTATGATCCTTCTAGTAAATCCTCACCAGTAGAAAGCTATAGTCTTTCAGTTGCCTGGGGCCATGATGTGCAGAAGCTTCTGTCCAGAATCTGCCATTAGGGGCTGTCTTCCCTTGGAAGAAGGCATTGTGAAAGGTGTGCATTCTTGTTTCTTGTACCTGCAGGAGCCCATGTAGTCCCTGTTGGTGAGCAGGGAGGTCACTGCTGTGTACTGCTTTCCACACATGTAATTAATTCCCAGGCTACATAAAAGACCTTGATTTTCAGAATGGATGATCTAGCACTTGTGGAAATAACAGTGTCCCACGAATTCCCTGCATGTTGCTTAAAGTACTCCCTTCTACTAAAAAATAAGTAGGACAGAGAAGAAGGGGGGCCGTCAATGGGATCTGTTTATAAAATGGAGATGGGCTGAATGGGAAGAGGCAGGGGTTTCCTTGAAATCAACCGGAAAAGGCAAAAGAAAGGAAACTGAGCTGAACTGGAAAACACTGCAACTAGGCACTTGGGTTTCTGCGTGCTTCCTGCCATTTGGGTCATGAAGGGCTTTTTCCCCTCGTTTTCTTTTTCGTATGAAATAAGTGGATCAAAATGGGAATCCATTGAGGTTCTTTGCTCTGGGCTGTTGATAGTGTTCAGGCTCCATATTCCCAAGGCCTGGAAATTTAGGAAACACTCTAACAGCCTGACAGCATGTCTCTAACCAAAAAAAATACTAGTGATTTTTAACAAAGGGAATTGTATACATTTATTAACTTGTTTTTTTGTTTGTTTAAGTTTCACTTTTTTGTTGGTGTGTCCGCCTTTGTGAAATTTTTTTTCCTTTTTTTTAAAGAATGGCCCCTATTTGTTGCAGAAAATGCCATTCATGTCCAGGAAAAATTACATTCTTACTTTGGATACTTGAATTGCGTGATGGAACCTTATTTTGATATAATCACCCCTTTCCCCCTTTAAAATTTTAAGCACACATTGCATGATTCACACACGCTTTCATTTCGGATGCTCCCATGCAATCACCCATTAATCTTACGTTTATTTTTATATTTCAGGCACTAGAAAAACACCCCAACTCACCAATGACAGCGAAGCAGATACTGGAAGTCATTCAGAAAGAAGGGTTAAAGGAAACAAGGTCAGTATTTATACGTACAGCATTTCCCGTTTTTATTGACTAACGGTGGCCACCAGTTGCAAAGCACTAGCTGTCTCTCCATGTAGATGGTATAATTGATGGTGAATTAGGTACCTGCAGATACTTTTGTGTCCGCCAAGTATTTAGATGACCACACGTTTCCTTGGAACTGCCTGTCGGCTTAATGAATTACACCGGACGGATTAATATTGAACATACTTTGTTAGCAACGTGCAGTGCTGTGTGAATTAACTGCTTCCTGGAAGCTCTCCTCCCCCTCTTCCTTATGAGAGGAGATTGGTGTGTTTCAGAAAGGGGCTGGGGAAAGGGAAACCCTCCCCCGGTTTGTCATTCCGGTGCTGGGGCACACAGGTGAGCTCACTCGGATCAAGGTCCAGGTGCCCGTGAATGTGGTTGAAACTCCAGTCCTCGTGTGCTTAGCATGCCTCCCCGTGGAGCGTCACTCATTAGCCGTGGAGCTTTTTAAAAAAGTCGTCCTGAGCTGTGATCATACATCACAGAACTCACCATTTTAAATGTGCAATCCGGTGGTTTTTAGTGGGTTCGCACATTTGTGCCATTGGGACAAGTTTCTCATTTTAGAACATATTTATCATCCCCAAACGAAACCCTAACACCCATCAGCAGTCATTCACCATCTAAGTTTCACTTTTTTGGTTGATGGCCCTGTAGTCCCTGTTGGTAAGCAGTGAGGTCACTGCTATGGACTGCTTTCAACACATGTAGTTAAGTCCCAGGGTACATAAAAGACCTTGATTTTCAGGATGGAAATCTCCCCCAACCCCTGGTGGCCACTAATGTACTTGTCATATCTATGATTGGTCTATGGTGCGCATTTATTACAAGGAATTATGCAATATGTAGCTTTCTGTGATGGGTTTCTTTCACTCAGCCTATTTTTTTTCCCCTCCAAAATCTATCTATGTTGTGGCACTAATCAGTACTTCATTCCTTTTGTTTGCCAAATAATATTTCATTGTATGGATATACCACATTCTGTTGATCTGTAATGATCCTTTATTTCTATTTAGCATTAATTTTACAGTTTGGGCTTTAGCCAGCCTGTAGGACCATATCAATATGTTACTCAAGGAGAAAAGAAGATGCTTGTGAGTGGCTAACATAGCCATTGGATGTCACATATGTGCACGTACTCATGTGTGTGGCACAGTGTGTGTGTTTTGTATGAACCTCGTCTGTCTGCAAGCCCCTGTGCGTACAGTGGCTGTAACTGGGTGAAAGTTAAACCTGCTGAGCTGCCTAAATGTTCTGGCTAATACTGAGGTAGAACCGCTGGGAGAAGGGAGTACCCTCCCCCGGCCAACTCTCTTAAACCACCGGTGTTCCTGCACCTGCTGTCACTAAGGCGTGGGCCACGTCAGCCTCGCCCAGTTTATTTATTTTTATGTTTTATATATATTTTATTGATTTTTTTTTTACGGAGAGGAAGGGAGAGGGATAGAGAGTTAAAAACATTGATCAGCAGCATCCTACACACTCCCCACTGGGGATGTGCCAGCAACCAAGGTACATGTCCTTGACCGGAATCGAACCTGGGACCCTTGAGTCTGCAGGCCGACTCTCTATCCACTGAGCCAAACTGATTAGGGCCGAGCCTCCTCCTGTTTCAATGCAACCTTTGGGGGTGAGATCCCAACATCCCAGGCCAGGGAGGCACAGTACCCCCCGCTCTGCTTCCCTCGCTGTGCGGGGCTCCTGCTGCCTGAGGACAGAGCTGAGACGGGTGACCCCGCTGTGTCTGCAGGGACTCTTTGCCCAGAGTGGGAGGCAGCCAGGGAGGGAGGCCGTCCCGGTCTCACAGCTCCCTCAGAGGAGGCCTGGTCTTCCAAGCAAGATGCCAGCGGGAGGAGGTGAGGGGAGAATGGGCAGCGGGGAACTGACCCCCTCCTCGCTGCCGGTCAGTCAGAAGCCTAAGGCATGGATGCCATTCAGGAAGCAGGAACAGTTTGGGCTGCAGCCGGAGGAGAGCGGGTAGCAATCTAAGGATCTCACCGCTGCCGGAGGAGGCGGGTGCAGCGGACGGCCACGCAGGCACAGAAGCCCGCCCTGCATGTGCGTGGGAACTGGGTTCACAGACTGTTCCTCTCCCACCGGGGACCGTGCTGCCCTGAGCGGTGAGGCCCTGAGATACAGCATCCTCGCCCGGAGCCAGCTCTGTAATTACGTTTTTCATTATAACAGCAGCATCTCATATTTTTAAAATGCTGGTCTTCCCACAGAGGTGTATTTTTAAAAATATATATGTTTTATTGATTTTTTTTACAGAGAGGAAGGGAGAGGGATAGAGTCCACAGGCCGACGCTCTATCCACTGAGCCAAACCGGTTAGGCCCCGACAGTGGTGTATTAAAGGGCTGTAAGCATTTGTATTTATAGTTAAAAAACAAAACAGCTGCCTTAGCATAAAGAACAAAGGAGTTGCTCTGCATATAGCTGTCCTCCGCCCAGCACCACTGCTGTGTCCTTCTGGAAAGAGAAAGGTGTTCCTCACCTTGACCAGCAAGGGAAGCAGCAGGGAAAGTTTCCGCAAAGAACCCGCAAGTCCATCAGGCGAACAGAGAGGACAGTGCCGTTTAAGTCTCTCCTGGAAAACCAGCCTCACAGTCAGGGGCTCTGAGTATGACTTTTAGGTTCTAGCTGCTTTCTTCACCTCTATAATCTCCTCCCTTCTGCCCAGATGGCCTGCTCAGTGGCTGAGCCTCGACTTATGACCCAGGAAAGAGGTCAGGGCACATTCCTAGGCTTCGGGCTTGATCCCCAGTGTGGGGCCTGCAGGAGGCAGCCGATCCATTACTCTCTCTCATCATGGATGCTTTTTTCTCTCTTTCTCTCCCTTCCTCTCTGAAAGCAATATAAATATTTAAAATATAAATAAATTCATCTCCTCCATCCCATTGCGGGGCGTGTTCCTGAGGATTGGTGTACCTGTGTCTTCCCTTCCCAGGTATTCTACGGTAGTTCTAGTATACTTACTAGATCATCTCTAAAATAGTTGTCTAGATTCTGAGTGAGTTTTGGGGCTTTTCTACATATTGCATATGTTTTAGGGAGCAGGTTCTAACATTTGTTATTCCTACTTAATGGGCAATTTTGCTACCTTCCATGTCCTTAAATGTTTTCCAAATATGTAAGGCAGCCAAGTAAAGGAAGTGTAACCTTGTCTATTGTTCTTAAGTAGAGTTATGGTTAGGAACCCCATCGCCATATGGTCAGAGCTGTTTCACTCCTAGGTATTTATTAATGGTGTGCTGCAGGGGAGTGACCGAGAAAGTTACTAATGTGACCGTAGGTAACCCTTTGGACTCCTCTGGGCCTGAGAGGTCATGTTAACAGTCCTCCCTCCAATAGTCCAGCTCTGCACTGAGTTTCTAGAAAAAAGGAGATGGGGTTTGTAATTCATCATCATTAAAACGTGGCTTTAAAGTAATGCCGTTGGCTTCAGGCTACCTGGGAGGGAGGGGGATCTCAGATTCCTGTGCCAGGTAGAGCGTCTATGGCATTTACCTCACTGCACCAGGTGGAGCTCTGGCATTTACCTCACTGCACCAGACAGAGCTCTGGGGCATTTACCTCACTGCACCAGGTAGAGCTCTGGGGCATTTACCTCATTGCACCAGGTAGAGCTCTGGGGCATTTACCTCACTGCACCAGGTAGAGCTCTGGCATTTACCTCACTGCACCAGACAGAGCTCTGGGGCATTTACCTCACTGCACCAGACAGAGCTCTGGGGCATTTACCTCCCTGCACCAGGTAGAGCTCTGGCATTTACCTCACTGCACCAGGTAGAGCTCTGGGGCATTTACCTCACTGCACCAGACAGAGCTCTGGGGCATTTACCTCACTGCACCAGACAGAGCTCTGGGGCATTTACCTTCCTGCACCAGACAGAGCTCTGGGGCATTTACCTCCCTGCACCAGGTAGAGCTCTGGGGCATTTACCTCACTGCACCAGACAGAGCTCTGGGGCATTTACCTCACTGCACCAGACAGAGCTCTGGGGCATTTACCTCACTGCACCAGGTAGAGCTCTGAGGCATTTACCTCCCTGCACCAGACAGAGCTCTGGGGCATTTACCTCCCTGCACCAGGTAGAGCTCTGGGGCATTTACCTCACTGCACCAGGTAGAGCTCTGGGGCATTTACCTCACTGCACCAGACAGAGCTCTGGGGCATTTACCTCACTGCACCAGGTAGAGCTCTGGGGCATTTACCTCCCTGCACCAGACAGAGCTCTGGGGCATTTACCTCACTGCACCAGACAGAGCTCCTGGGGCATTTACCTCCCTGCACCAGACAGAGCTCTGGGGCATTTACCTCACTGCACCAGACAGAGCTCTGGGGCATTTACCTCACTGCACCAGACAGAGCTCTGGGGCATTTACCTCACTGCACCAGATAGAGCTCTGGGGCATTTACCTCACTGCACCAGACAGAGCTCTGGGGCATTTACCTCACTGCACCAGACAGAGCTCCTGGGGCATTTACCTCCCTGCACCAGGTAGAGCTCTGGGGCATTTACCTCACTGCACCAGACAGAGCTCTGGGGCATTTACCTCACTGCACCAGGTAGAGCTCTGGCATTTACCTCACTGCACCAGGTAGAGCTCTGGGGCATTTACCTCACTGCACCAGACAGAGCTCTGGGGCATTTACCTCACTGCACCAGGTAGAGCTGTGGGGCATTTACCTCACTGCACCAGACAGAGCTCTGGGGCATTTACCTCACTGCACCAGACAGAGCTCTGGGGCATTTACCTCACTGCACCAGACAGAGCTATGGCATTTACCTCACTGCACCAGACAGAGCTCTGGGGCATTTACCTCACTGCACCAGGTAGAGCTCTGGCATTTACCTCATTGGACCAGGTAGAGCTCTGGGGCATTTACCTCACTGCACCAGACAGAGCTCTGGGGCATTTACCTCACTGCACCAGGTAGAGCTCTGGGGCATTTACCTC